TCCCCCCACCCCCATTTCTGCTTATTTCCCTCCCTCCCCCCTTCTCTGTCCATCCAGGGCTCTGACAAGTTTACGGATCCTTGGCTAGGGCCTGAGCTGAGGAGCGAGGCTGATTTGGAGAATCCTAAACAGGGCATGGCTTTCTCCTTTCTGGAAATATCAGGGTCCCTGCACTCCCTCCTACCTTAACCATGCTCAGGCCTGGGAAGAATGTCCTTTCTCACCGTCCGGAGGAAGGGGTGGGTGAGCTGAATCTCTGTGTTTATTGGGTGGCCCAAAGTGACACCCAATACTGAACTCAGAACGCCAGACCCGAGCTCTCAGGGGCTGGCTTGTGTGCTCTCTGGGTCCCTGGAGCTGAGGGACAGCCAGGCAGTAGAGCTGGGCATTCTGTTTCAGACAGGAAGCCTGGGGCTGAAGGATGCTCTGCATCAGCTGGTTCCCACCCGGAGGCTCCGCAAGTCTCGAGGCTCCTGCTTTTAGGTGAACTCCCCACCGGTCTGCTCATCCTAGTGGCTGCTGCGTGGTTAGGGCCTGGACTTGGGAGCCAGAGGACCAGGGGTTTGAATAATGCTTTTCCCAGTGCTCTCTGGGTGATGTTGGACAAACCTCGCAACTCCACTGAGCCTCAGTTTCCTCCTCTAGAAAATGGGGCGATAACAGGACTTAACAACGTAGGTTGTTTTGAGGGTTGAACAGAATAGTGTTTGGAACCTCTCCACATAGCAACTGCTCACGCCGCCATTATGATCCCTTCTGTTGGAACTGACAGGACCATGCAGTGCAGCCTGGGACACAGGGTTGGGCGTGCACCCTCACTTGGGAAGGGGCTGTCTAGCTGCTGTCTAAGGAGCGGATTTTGTGTCCCCAGTGTGTCCTAGCTCGCTTCCAAATCTCTAGGCTGGTTGAGGAACAATAAATGGCTGGGGGTCTCCTTACCCCCTGCATAGAATCAGAGGGTAGGGGCTAGGTTGGTCCTCTGGGCTTGGCATCCTGGGAACGCTACCCCCACCAGGGGCTGGATTTGGCATCTCAAGATGGGCTCACTTTGGCTCTCCCAGCCGAGAGGGAGGATGGCTGTGCCCTGAAGACAAAGGCCTGGTTCTCCCACCAGTGCCAGGAGAGAATGTGTTATCTTTGGGCCCAGGTGGTCTGGCCTGGGTCTCTGGGCTGGTGCCGTCTAGGGGCCGCCCCAGCCCCCATGTCTGCTGAAAGGCAGAAGCTGTGGGCAGAGATGGCAGCCATTCAAGTGGACGCCGGCCCTCTGAGCGGCTGGGAGTGGGGCCAGGGGGAGGGGCCGCTGCTGGCTTTTGGGTGGTCGTTGGCAGGACGGAGGACTGGGGTGCAGGACGCAGAGATGGAGGGCGGGGCTTGGGGGAGAGAGAGTTGGGCTTCAGGTTGGGGTTCCACCCCACTGGGAGCCCCACTCTCCTGCCCTGGTCTGTCAGCATCCGAGACCCCGCTTTGCCCAGGGAACCCGCTGCCACCATGAAGGGCCACCCCTCCCCTCCCTAGTGGGCTGACCTGTGCCCTCCCTGCCCCAGCTCCTGGGCTTCCTCTGCCCTCTTTCCCTCTAGGCAGCTGGGCTCGTGGCCAGGCTGAATGGAGCTGGGTTTGGGGAACCCTCCCGGAGGTTCGGTGGTCCTTACCGAGGGGCAGTAGGAGGGGGAGGTTCCCAGGTCATAGTAGGGGGTCTGCAGGACCAGCTGTTGCATTTCTTTTTCTTCCGGCTGCACCTGCTGCTTCCCTGGCTCCAGGTGGAGAATCTGGAAGAGAAGGAGGCCAGCGGCTGGCTACCCGGCCTATTCCCTGCACCCTGCTCCCTGCAGCCATCTTGGACCCCCCCCCAGTCTGGTTCCCATGCATCCCCATCCTGGCACTCACCACGCTCGTGGCTGTCTGGGAGGCACAAGTGATCAGCACAGGGACAGGCATCTGCTGGGTACTTGATTTTTTTTGTTTTTAATGAATGAATGCACCGAGCAGTGGAGGAAGAGCTTCCCCTGTGGGCCCTGGGCAGGGAGGGAGGATCCTAGTTTGTCATTTCTGTAGGGGGAGGGGAAAGCCTGGGCCACGGCCTCTCACCCAGGCCTGGCCTTTTGGGAACTGGCCAGGGCTAGCACCGTGCTGGGGACTGGTTAGAGGCCCATGCATGTGGGAGGGCTCTGCCTTCAGGTGGCCATCTCCCAGTTTTCCTCCCCAGCCCCCCATTCCAGGGCCGCAGGCCCACCTGGATGTCCTCAGGTGCAAGGTGGCTCTGCCTGCGGTGGGGAGGCTCCAGCTTCTGGGAGGAGGGCATTGAAGTCCTGGGGGAACAGAATAAGGCTCACATAGGGGATTCTGTTCCAGGCAGGCCATCTGACAGTCCTGGTCCCTGACGGCCCCCCAGTGCTCTGCTCCCAGGCAGCTTCCCAGATGGTCTGAGCTTGGGGTGCGGTTACTCAGCATAGCTGGGTGGAGGCTGAGAGTGCCCCTCCTATCTCCCTGGGCATCTCTGCCCCCAGCCCAGCCTGTCCCTCCCTCCAGCCCGGGTGTGGGAACCGTGTGAGACTCCGGTGTCCTGGCCTGGAGGACAGTGGGAAATCCCGAGGATGCATTTGGGCTACGACCAGGGTGACGGGAGCAAGACCTCAAGTGCAAAGCTTATGGGGGCCCCAGAAGTCTCGGTCATCACGATAAATAATAGTTGAATACAATATATTTAAAAATAAAATTAATGCAAAAAAGTCCAAGACGAACAAAATACCAGCATTTTAAAATAAGGTAGGAGAAGGGCGCCTGGGTGGTTTCGCTGGTTAAGTGTCTGCTTTTGGCTCAGGTCACCATCTCATGGTTGGTGAGTTCAAGCCCTACCTTGGACTCTGTGCTGTCAGCACAGAACCTGCTTTGGATCCTCTGTCCCCCACTTCTCTCTGTCCTTCCCCCTCTCATGTGCGTGCGTGTGTGTGCTCGCTCTCTCTCTCAAAAATAAAAATACTTGAAAAAAAATAACATAAAAGTTTAAAAAGTAGGATTAGTATTACTGATTTTTCCTTTCACCTCATGCTCCAAAATAGCTTGCATGATACTATTTCTGATCCTGTCTTTACTTAACATGTTGACATTCCGTTCATCATGGACTTTTGCCTTCACCCTTTGTCAGCGGCTGGGGTAAACGTGTGTAAAGCATTTAACCTGTGTGCCTCGTTTCCTCATCTGTAAACCGTGGATTATAATCGCACACCTACTTCTCAGAAAGGGCAGCGGCAGCTGAAAGGGGGCGTCTGGGTGGGCAGATGGGTGGGCTTGCCAACACTCACCCGCCACAGTCCGGCTCCATTTGGTTCTTCTGCTGTCGGTGATGCAGTATGAAGATGGCAAGAGCCACGCCAAGGATGAGGACAATGGCCACGGTACCCCCTAGAAACCTGGCCACATTTCCAGGGTCTTCCTGGGGGAGGGGCTTTTCTAGAGCCGAGAGAGGAAGGTGGAGAGAGAGAGAGGTTGAGAGAGAGAGAGAGAGAGAGAGAAAGAGAGGGAGAGGACTCTCGGAGTCGGAGAGGTGGGCACAAAGCAAGAGAACCAGACCCTGAGGCAATGCCCCAGCCTGGTCCCCCTCCCCCTCCCCTGTCGTGCCCCTCCTCCATCCCGCTCCAGTTCTGGGAGGGGCTGGCCCAGTTAGGGTGGGGTAGACCTCCTACTCTGGCTCCCCAGGGCCCCATAATCTCAGACTCTGATCTGGGGATCTGGGGCATGGAGATGGGGGTGGGGGGTGGGGAGCCAGGGCAGGCAGAGGGGTGCTCAGAGATGGGGGTCCCCACCCCCTAATTCTATCTCTGGCCCTGCAGGGAAGATTCCTGTTGAGGAGTTTAATTTTCTTCCCCTCCCTACCCAATTAAACAAGCAAATGAACTAATTGGTGCTTTGCCCTCCCAGCTCTGGAGAGGGAGGGAGGACTGAAGGCAAGGCAGAAACGCCGAGATTGCAGGGGGACCCTGGGTTGGTGGCAAACCAAGTTTGTCCAGCGTGGAAGCTGAAGAACTCAGAGGGCCTCCGTCTAAGCCCCGGGGGCTGTCTGGACATACCTGGCTGTTCTCCCAGGAGCATTAGCCCCACGGTCAGGAGTGGGGCTGGGGTGCAGGAGCTCCTCACCACCTGCTCTGTGGTGGGTGGGGCAAATCAATCTCTCTGGGCCTGGGAAAGCAAGGCGTCCTGGGGGCTTGTGAAGGTTTGTTGACTGATTTCCCAGCCTGAGCCAGAGCCACTGGCTGTCCCTGAGGGCAAAGACGCCACGGGGCTGCTGGAAAGGCGTCTATGGCAGGAAAGTGGGGAGCACACGCTGCTTTCTGGCCCGGCTCTGCTGCCCCAGGTTGGCATGCAAGGCCACGGCCACGCCAGGCTTTCTTTTCCCTCCCTCCGCTGGGCTCCATTTCTCACCTCTGACCCTTACATCATGCAGGGAGGAAGGGACTGGTGGGAAAATCATAAATGCTTCCTCCCCTCTTTCCTCCCTGCACCGTATTATATATAATTAAACACAAGAGCACCTGAATAGGGATGCTAAATTGCAGTTTGCAATAAACATCACGGAGCCAATTTTCCTGAAGCGGGATTGACAAGCACCCGCCTCTCTCTGCTCCATCCCAGTGCCCTGACTGAGGCGGTGCCCGGGGGAGACCTCAGCACCAGCCTGGCTCCCAGCGAGTCTGCAGCCCCTCTCTGGCTGGGCTCCTGTCCATCCCCAGCCGGTGGGCTGTGGCCCCATTGGGAGGGCAGTGTCTGTGTGTATCATGGGGACTCCAGACACCCTGGACCCTGTGCCAGCACCGTCTCTTCTTGACTGTCACAGCCCCCTGGGTGGGGATAACTGCCATCAGTTAAACAAACCTGCCCCCTTTGCTCCAAACCGTAGCATCTTAGTACCCACCCCACCCTCCTTCCTGGCCTTTCTTCTTTATCCTCAAACCTTCCTGCTTCCTCCCCTGCCGTCTTCCAACTCTGCTTCTCCTTTGGTTTTGCAGGCACTTCTTTGCTCCTCTGCTGCGTTCCAGGCACTGTTCTGGTGCCGGGCAACAGAGAGGCACAGGCCCTGCCTCTGAACGCCGCTGGGTCCCACTCATCTTCCTTCTGCCTCGTGGACAGTTCGCAAGTACGGCTGCGCCTCCCTGGCTCCCTGTGCCGCCCCGCCGGTCCACACCGCCAGCATCCCCTGAGCTGCGGACCTAGCCTCCCTGCTCCCAGTCTTGTCCCCTCTGAGCCCTTCTCCACCCTGAGCCTGAGTGATCTTTCTAAAATCAAAACTCATCAGGCCACATCCCTGCTTAAAACTTTCCAAGAGGCCCTCGTGGCCCCAGCGAAGTGTCTGAGCTTCAAGGCTTTGACCTGGACCCTGATCATTCTGGAGGAGGTGACTCAGTGCTTCCCATGGCTCGGCTTGTGCAGCCCACCCAGGCTACTTGCAGTTCCCAGTGGCGGTGGTGAAGTGGGGGGTGGGGGAGTGGGGGTGGGGGTGGGGTGGGGGGGCGTGTCCCCTGCTCCCTCTCTCCACCAAGCTCTTTCTCTCATGCACCCTCCTCGCCAGGCCAACCAGTCCTCTGGGGGAACCCTCCCTTCTCCTTCGCTGGAATGGGTGTCTTCCTTTTCTGATATGACCATGAATGCGTGTCTGGTTAGCCTCTGTCCCCCTAGTCCTCTGCACGGCACCTAGTATGTGGGAAGTTCTCCGGAAGGGTTGACCAATCAGTCAATGCTCGCTTGAACAAAGGCAGCTGGCAGTTTCTGAGCCCGCCTGTCCCTTGGAATCTCCGCTCCCACCAGGGGGTACAGAGGCTTCAGCCCCTCTGCACTGGACCTGGGAATTCTCTTTCTGGGGGCACAACCCGAACCTATCTCCCCGTTTCCTCTCCGCACAGCGGAGGCAGGCTGGCACTTCAAAGGACTGGGTGGGCAGAGCAGTGGGGGAAATGAACAAAGAGGCATTAGCACAGGTACCGGGTCTGGCTCACACGGTTCAGGTTTCTCTCCTCCCACAGCCAGCTCACCATGGGGCTTGGGGGCAACCCCGTGGGGGAATGCGGGCAGGAGGGAGAGACAGTTTCACATCGGCCCTGCCTCGGCTCCCTGCTTCCAGGTGACCTCCCCCTGGAACTCTGGAGCCACTTTAGCAGAAGAGGGAGGCAGCTGTCCTTCTAAGGGGCCTTCTGTCGTGCTTACAGTACAGACAACAACATGGTAAGTGAGATTGTGAACGCGCCAGTGTGCGCATCGGGGAAAGGATCATAATGGGTGGGATGCTGTGGGCAAGGCCTCAAAGGTGCCAGGACCCAGCTGCCCTCTCTGCATGTCCCACCCTCACAAAATTGGAGTGCAAGATCCCAAGAGCCCCTGGGCCCTGCCTGATCCCCCTGGAGGGTGCCCCCCTGGTGGAAGAAATAATAGCAGAGGAAGAGTGAGAAATGGAGACTAAGGAAAGACAAGGAGAAGAGATTGGCCTCAAGTCTGGGCCCGGCACCTGGGCTGATGTGGGGTTGGCTTGATCCTCACATCAAGCCTGTAAAATTAGATAAATGTTACTCTCAAGGAGGAAAACAAGACTCAGAGAGGTTAAGTAATTTGCTCAAGGTCACCCAGCCAGTCAGTGGCAGGGTGGGCACCAGAACCTGCATCTGTCTGACATTCCCTGATGAGGCTGCGGGTCTTCTTAGTAATCCTGGTCCCTCGTATGGCAAGAAGCGGTTCCCCCATCCCCCTCGGCAGACACATCCCTACCGACCCCCTCGCCTTGGGTTGCTTTGTGTCTGAGCCTCCCCTTGACAGCTGTGAGGTGGGGGCCCAGCCCTGGCCCCAGCTGGAGCCCTGGCACTGAGCCCTCAGACATTCTCTGGTTACACCGGGACGAATCCATCCCCCAGCCCCAGCTCCACAGGCTTGAGGGCAGGGCTGGTCACCTACAGGCAGCCGGGCCTGGCTGGGGCTGGAGTGCAGGGCCTGGGAGAGGGGGGGATCAGTGTGCGAGGGAGGAGGATCCGGAGAGCATCTCCTGGGAGGCGGGCTGGGTGCTGGGCTGAGGCTGGTTGTGTTGGCCTTATCCTACTGAGAAAGCTCACAGAGGTCAAGTTGGTTGTCCAGAGTCCCACAGCCAGGAACGCCACAGCTGGAATCGGACAAGGTCGACTTCTGAAATCCCTCTTTCTCCTTTTGTCCGCAGGGCCTGGTGTCTCTGTGACCCAGGAGCCCCTCCCCAGGCAGCGCCTGCCCTCGCCCTGGCTCAGGCCCCAAGGACCACCTGCCTCTGGCCTGTATCTAGGGCCACGCCAGTGACATCTCCAAGCCTCCGTGTTCTCACCTGTCACATGGTGACATCACACCTGGCTTTCCTGCCCTCTGACTGAGCAAGTGAAATCCCCAGGTAGGACATAAACACAGACCTAGATTCCAGTCTGGGGGGCTGCAGGCCAGGGACGGTCAGGGGCTTCTTGGCTCTTCTTCAAACCAGATCTGCCCTCCGCCCTGAGGCCCCAGGGTGGGGAGTGTGAGGAGCTCGGATCCCACCCAATGTTCAATAATCTGACTCTCAGCCAGATCTCAGCGGTCCTGAACACCCGCCCTAGGTCAGTGACTTTACAGCTTGCTCGCTTGCTCCGCCCACTGCCCCTCCTTCAGTTCAATAAACTTGTCCCGAGCACCTTCTATGGTGCCAAGCGCTGTGACAGGTGCTGGGGGGCTTGCCCCTGGCTCGGGGGGGAGTCAGAAATGTACACAAATAAGCACCGTCTTTTGTGATTCCTCAAAACAAGTCTGTCCAAGGCCCAGGACAGGTGTAGAGAAGAGAGTGATTAGCTCCGGGAGTTCATGGCTTCACACAGGAGGGGCCTTTTGAGCAGGGTTTTGAAAGCGTACGAGGAGTTTACCAGGAGAAAAGGAGACAAGAATTGAAGGCAGCGCGAGGAGCGGTGCAGGGACACGTGTGTGAAACGTGGGCTGTATGAAGGAAATTCCAAGGACTGGATCTGCTGGGAAATGGGATGCAAGGGGAGACGGGCAGGACAGGAATCTGGGGCAGGGGTGGAGGCAGACCCCACTCAGAGGTTTAGATTTTACCCGGAAGTGATGTAGCACCTTCTCTCCTGCTCCCCCTGCCTGGGGACAGAAACACTGCCTTCTCAGGAGCTGGACTGACCAGGGCTCCCTTGTGGTTGCCTCTTAATGAGCCTCTCGGGGCAGCACCCGGCCCTTCTGCTCACAGAGCTGTCCTGGGGGGGGGGGGCACCCTCAGCATCCTGTGACGCAGGCACAACAGGTGTTTCTGGGGGACCAGGAGTTTAGAGGAGGCTGGTGTCTGGATTTGGCCCCAGTGCCCCAAGGTAGGACAGGCCGGTGGAGGAGGGGCTGTTTATACTGCCTAGGGCCTGCCTGGTGGGTCAGAGTCCATCTGGCTATTTCCCCAGCCCAGGTGTGCAGGAGTGGCTCCTTCCCGATGGCCAGAGGCGGGTGGCAAGGGCTTGAGCAAGGGCGCTCTGGACCACTCTCCCCTCTCGGGAGGGTCTGAAGGCCCCCCAGCAGTCTCATGGGTACCCCGCATTTCTAAGTGCCAGACGGAGGCAGGGCTCCCAAGATCCGTTTTAATCTTGTCGCCGTACAGAATATCAACTGTGAGAATACAGGTCCTGATCCACAGGCGATAGGGGGCTTCTGACTGCACAGGCCAGGGCACCACTGAGCCTGGGACAGTGAGGGGCAGGGAGCTTCTGGCACAGCCCTCTGCACTAGGGAACCAGCACTGGTATCCCTGTAGCCCTGTGGCCTTGGCATCGAGACCAAGCTCCCAGCCTGCCCTCCAGGGCCCCGCATGAACTCCCTGCCGGGCCGCACATCCCTTCGCACAGCCTGGTTGTGCGTTCCGGCTTGCTCCAGCTCTCTGCGTCTTTTTCTCTTTTCAATTCTTCCTTCCTGGGACTCCTGGGTGGTTGCTGTAGTGCCCCACTTGGAGATTGTGGAAATCTCCTCCCCTTTGCCCGGGAGCAGACGTATCCCTCTCTTCTCCAGTTCGGCCCCTACGGGAGGCATTTTCCTCTGACCCAGGGAGGTGAGGGAACCCACCCAGAGGCCTGGAACTGATGTAGCCAGCCAGTGGTTACCTTGGACTCAGCCAGGCCTCTGCCTTGGCCTTCCCTTGGGCTATAGAGGCAGGAGGCCTGGCCCGTTAGCTTATAGCCTGAGGTGGCCCTCGGCTGGTGCTGGGGTTGAAGCTGGGGGAGTCCTCCGCCTGTCTCTTCCCTGGGGTGGGCTCCGGGTCGCTCCCTCTGCCTTGGACTGCGTTGCACTTCAGCCCTGTATCTGCCCTGGTGTGTATCAGGATTAGCGCAAATAGCCTTTTCTCTTCGGCCACAGAATTTGCTAGGTTCTGAACCCAGGTGGCGGTCCCTTTGCGGTCACCTTCTTCAGACCTCCTAGTTGGAGCCTGGAGGCTCCAGGTTGTCGTAGCCCTCCCTCTTGTCTCCCTCGCGCCTGACTTCCGTTCCGCCTGTCTCGAGCAGACGCAGATTATGGAAGGTGCTCGGCACAGTGATTGGCACATAGTTGGCATGTAATACGTGGTCAGTAGTTTTGTTATTAGTATTCAATAAATGTAAATTGATGGTGATGATGTTGTTGCTGACGGTGATGTTGGTGCTGATAATGACAGTGATGATGTTGGTCCCTGGAAGCTTGGCGTCTTTACCCAAACCCCATGGGCCCTGTTACCCCCGAGGCCACACTGGCGTATCACTTTTATCGTACGCATGCACTTTTACTTCAATGATCTCATTTGAGCCTCCACCCCTTTGCCTCTGTTGCCAGGTGGGTAAGTGGAGGCTCAGAGAAATTTAGGAAAATGCTCAGGGTCACGCAGCTCACTGGTGATGGATATGGGACAGGAACCCAGGCATCCCCTTCCTCATGGCAGTGCTCTGACCCGCCCCCTCGAGGACCCTGACTGGGGCCTTTTTCCTGCCCTCTGCTGCCTCCATTTCTAGGTATATCTGCGGAGGAAGACAGGCCAGCTGTCTTGAGTTTGCCGCTTACGTAGCTGTATAATCTTGGGCAATTATGAAACCTTCTGAGCCTCAGTGTCTTCACCTGTAAAATGGGAATAACAGGGTTGCTGTCAGGTGTAAGTGAGGTAATGGATGTTCAGGCCCTTAGCCGGTGCCTGTGCTTACTTACTGCTAGGAAGCTTTGTTTCTAGGAGGGCAGGGACATGTCTGCTCCTTGGGCAAATCCCAGGCAGCCGGGGCTCCGACCTCTGCTCTAATCCTGCCTGTTGGCCTCTTAGCCTTGCCCTCAGCTTTCCCTATACTTTGCCAGTTGTGACCCACAGACCCCAACTTGCGTAGGGCCGTGCGCGGGCTCTAGGACAAGGGGTCAGGGCCTCCCACTCTGGGTGAGCATGTGCAGTGTGAGAGACTATGGCACTCTGCACACCATGTTCGGCCATCTGGAATGTTCTCCCCCGTGTCACCAGGCCTCCCAGCCCCTCCCACCGGCTCTTCACACCTTGAGTTGTCATTAGGAGAAAAAAGGATCCTGAAGAGGCTCACTTTCCCAGAAGCTCACCCCCACCACAGGGTTTGTCAGAGCCGCCTCCAAGGTCAGGACCAGCTGGAGAGAGTTACTGAGATTTCACGCACATTCCTAGGGGGAGGAGGACTATCTCTCTGATGGGGATCCTGCCAGGCAGGGACCTGACCCCCATCCCTCTCTGAGGGAGGGGATGAGTGAGGGGTATGCAGCCAGGGGGTAGGGCTGGGGGCACAGGGAAACCATTTATCTGCCTCCACCCCACAGGGCATGGTCGGTCTGCGGTGTAAGTGGTGGTGGGGAGGGCGGGGGTAAGAAACAGTCTGACTGCCCCCTCCCCCACTCCAAAATACACACTACCCCGGGTCTCAGAAACAGCCTGTCCTCTGAGCCCCCTGCTGCCCGTTCAAGGGGGCCCATCACTCCCTCCCGGTCTTGGTGGTACCCAAGGAATTCCTCACCCACCCCACGAGGCCCAGGGCTTCCCCCGTGTGGATTGAGGATGGCCTGTGAAGGGCTGTACCTCTTACAGGCTCTTCTCTTCCTGATGACCCTCTCAACAGGCCCTGACTTTGGGGTGGGGGTGGGGGTCCTCGACCCCCTCTCCCCATGCCACGTGGCCCTGCCAGCCTGAACTTCTTGCCACGCCAATTACTACCCGTAGGGCCAGGTCATTCTGTCACTTTATTCCACTGGGACAAGCTGAGCATTTTTCAAAAGGAACGTTACTAGGAAAATAAGAACAGGCAGGCAATAGGGACCCCTGGGTGGCTCAGTCGGTTAGGCGCCTGACTTCTGACTGCGGCTCAGGTCATGATCTCACCCTTCTCGAGAGTTGGAGCCCCACATCGGGCTCTGTGCTGACAACTCAGAGCCTGGAGCCTGCTTCAGATTCTGTCTCCCTCCCTCTCTCTGCCCCTCCCCCGCTTGCACTCCGTCACTCCATCTCTCTTTCTCAAAAATAAATAAACATTAAAAAAAAAAAAAAAGAACAGGCAATATAAGAACACAGGAGTGGCCAAGTTCACGGAGAAGCTATTTCTTCTCCTAATGTAATTTGTCATCCAGCCACAGACTCACTAGGAATGTCCGAAGGTCAAGTGCTGCTGGCAGAAAGCTTGGGCTTCCCTGGAAGGAAGTGAGGTCCCTGTCATTGGAGGTGTTCTAGCAGGGCCCTGATGGCGCCTTGGTGGGAGGTGATTTTGAAAGGTCAGTACATAAGGAGGATTCTTTACATCCACACTGAACTTCAGGGTTTACGTAGGGCTTTCAGCTGTTTTCTGATGTCTTTGGTATAATCCTAGAAAATAGAATATGGACCACTGTCACTGTTTTACAGGTAAGAAAACTGAGGCCTAAGAGAAAAGTGGCTTTTTCAAAGGTGCCTCGAGGTAGTGACCACCCTGGCTGGGATTCACATGGGGAGGCCCCTGGGGTACAGCTGCTTCAGCTTCAGGCCCCACCCCGCTCCTGTTCTGCCCCCACCAAACTGGAGGTAAGGGTGGCCCACATTTGCAAGGTACTTAGGAGGTGGCCAGAGGTGATTCTGGAATTAATGGCCTTCAGCAGGGACAGTGGAGGCCTCACTTCCCCCAAAGGGCATATTAGCATGACAGACTGGGGTGGGGATGGGGGTCTCAAGGCTCCTAGGAGGGGCTAGGAGGGCAGGGGACCAGAAAGGGTAGAACTCCCAAAACAAAGGCAGGAAGCCGAGGGGCAGTCTCCCTGGGGGTGATGAGTGTTGATGGTCTAGCAGTCTGTCCATCCCAGGCAGGGGGCCCTCCATCATCTCAGGACCCCACATCACAGCCTCTCCTTGTAGAAAATCTCCCACATCAAATGTAGAAT